ATCTATCTATCTATCTATCTATCTATCTATCTATCTATCTATCTATCTATCTATCTTGCAAATTTATACGGCCACCTATCTTAATCAAACACACCTGGCAGAGCCATTGGCCGGGAGTTATGTCTGGACAGCAAGTCATCCCTGTTTGAATCCATGTCTGTCTTTTCAGGTGTGCCGAGAATTTCAGCGTGGAAATTGCACACGAGGTGAGAATGACTGCCGCTACGCTCATCCAATCGATATTGCCATGATAGACACCAATGAGAACACGGTTACGGTGTGCATGGATTACATCAAAGGCCGATGCTCTAGGGAGAAATGCAAGTACTTTCACCCCCCTGCGCATTTGCAAGCTAAAATCAAGGCAGCTCAACACCAGGTGAATCAAACGGCTGCAGCCGCAATGGTAAGGGGACCACCTCCGGCGATGGCTTGGCTGAATGTTGTGTTGTTCCACAAAGTGGGGGTGGGTGGTGGGGGTTCAGGGGATGCCCCCTTCCTCTTTTTAATAGAGTCACCCTCCCACAATCATCAGTTTGGCCCCAAGCATACTTGGTCAGAAGGAAGCCCCACAGATTTCAGAACCCACAAGAAGCAAATCCTGCCATTTCTTTATCAGAACCTCCTCGAGACACATTTGCATTTCAGACAGATGGAGCCATGTCTGCAGAACATCCTCCTGTGCCCTCTTTCTTTCTCTCACTCTCTCAGCATAGAAAGTTTACAAGGAAGAGTCGTGGAGAATATTCTGTTAAGATCTAACCTTTCCCCCCTTCCTTTTGTTCTGCTGCTCTCCTGACAGTCTCTGCAATCTCTGGCATTGCTTTTTGGAGGCGCTTTCGTTAGTCCCAAGAGAGGAACTCAATTGTAGCTTCCTCGGGGACATCAGTGGGCCTTGCTGTTGTAAGGAGGTGCAGCATCCTCCTTGAAGTACCTTCGTCAGAAGAGAAAGATGCTGGATGCATTCTGGCCATTTGTACAAGCAGATGGTTAAATCCGACCAGTGGTTGGCTGTTGATTCAGATTTGGATTTATCCTGCTTGCTCATGAACACAACTTGTTTTTCTAAGCGTTCTCTGCCATCATGGCTTGTTCTGAGCTTCCCACGTTGGGCTTTTAGCTGCACATCCCCTCCATAGCTTTGGGCTTCCAAGGCCTGGCTGATCCAGCCTTTACAAAACCAGTTTATGCCATTGTGCCCATACTTGCATCGCCCAGTTTCACACTAAGATGTAAAGCATCAACTCTGTGTTTAGGGTGGTTCTTGTCACTAAAAGATGATTCCTTCTCATCAGAAGTAGGGTTTGGAACAATTGGCTCACTGGTTCTTTGTTAATCAAACCTGATTCCTAAAATCCTACCTGTGACATTTATTCCACCCCCCAGTTCATTTTGAATTCATGCTGTCCTTTGTCAGCATAAACTTTATTAGTAGTGTGCCATTTAACCTCTCTCCACCCATTAAAATATTTTATTGATTGCTTGTTTTCAGAGCTGGCCCATCAAAACTGTCTTGTAATATTCATTAACTCCCCACCCCTCCCCTTCCCCAAGTCTCCAGGCTTACATTGGAGAGTTTCACTTGTGGGAGAAACTTTCAAATCCAGCTGCCAATTGGTGCTAGTCAATCGCAGAGTCTGCCCTCATGTGCCTTTTAAGATAGCACAGTGATTGATTGATTGATTGATTGATTGGTTGATTGATTGATTGACTGGCAAAACAGAGAGAAAGAGAAAGAAACATTCCCCATCAAATTTTCAAAATGGTTTTGTTTCAGCAGTTATAAGCAAATGGCTTTCTGTCAGTCAGGGTTTTGGAAGTCAAAGCTGAAAAGAACAGGAGGCCGGTCTCGAGAGGGGTATTTCAGTCTTGTCTTTACCCAAGCCATGCCATGAAAAGGCTCAAAGAAAGCTGGTTTCAGCCTGAACAGTGTTTAGATGGGACACTTTCCTGAATCATCCTTGTGTTGGTAATCTTGAAGAAAGGCAGGGTGTGACTGGAAATGTGTCCAGAATTCCTGGAAGTTGCCTCAAAATTCTTTGATAATATTCAACAGTTATAGATGGTTCCTTCCTAAGTTTGGAAGAAATCTTTGGATTTCAAACATACACTAATCACCCATTTCAGGACAAGTACTGTGCTATTTATTAATATTTCACATACCCAGTACATCCCTTTTTTCACAGATAGTTTCTAGATTTGGCTGCACGCCTCCAGTTGCTTGCTTACTTAGAAGTAAGCCACACTGAAAACAGCGGGGCTTGCTTCTGAGTAGGACTGCATTGTAGGCCTTCTGATTAGCGCTAAGAATTCAGCCCTGTTAATCAGCCCTAAAAACCAGATGCTATCCTCAAAAGGCAGCTAAGCAAATCAAGAGCACAATTTCACATAATCTAGTCTTTATGCCCTGTGAATTTTAAAAATAAACTGTTGGGGATTTTTATCAAAGAAATGCTTAAAACGGGGGGATGGGGGAGGCATGGGAAAAAGCAGGACACAGTTTTTCACACATTACAGAGGATTAGAAACCTGGGGTTTATTTTGCAGAACAGCTTTATGGAGGGATCCATAATCTGAATCCTTCAGCAAAAGGGTGTCCTGTATTCAGAGGCATCTGCAGTGGGTCAAGGGAGGCCAGTGACGGAAGCAGCATCCTGACAGAAGCTCCCTCGCTTTTCCACTTGTGCCGCAATGTCGCGCAGACCCGCAAAAGAAGCAGAGCTTGCGGCCTGGGGCTGCTTTTGTTCCTTGGAGTGAAGCATCAGATCCTGCAGACCCTTGCCCCGCATTTCTGCATTACCTGTGAAAATGGGAACGAAAACAAAAACTCTCCTGCCCAAGCTTCAGACCTTTCTGCTCAGGGTGGATAGACTGGGGGTGGTGGCAATGCCCCAGTAGTTATTCTTTGTCCATTTTAACTGTTGCAGACCTCTCTGTAGTGCATGCATTGTCTGTTTTTTTGTTTTTTCAAAAAAAAATTATTGTGATAATGCATTCATTTTATTTTTTTTTTCTCTCCACCTTCTCCACAACGTTGCTCTCCTTTTTGACACATCTCTGCTTGCTGTTTTTTGTTGTTGTGCTTCCAACCCCCTTCCTCAATACCGCCATGTACTCGCTGCCTGCTAATTAAGACTCAGCCAGCTCTCCGATCACAGAAGCGACCCCTGGAGGCAAACTTTGACCTGGTACTTGGAGCTTTGCATGTAACCATCCTTTAGATTGCATGGAATACCTTATTATTATTATTATTATTTTTTCACTCTCTCCCTCTCTCTCTCCTTTTCTCTTTCGGGTGTTGTGTCCGGAGACTGCCCATCCCACAAGGAGCAATACTTTTCCAATCCGATGATTCAGTCCATACTCTCTTCTGCCCCCTGCCCCCTAAGATGGAAAAAAATATGCCGCTCTCTGCTGGAATTGAAAATCCATTTTTGAAATAGCAGGTGTCTCTCCCTCCCCAAAAAAGTGGTCCAGATGCAGCTTTGGAAGGATCTCTTATCGTGGCATTTTTCAACCCATCTGTTTCCAAACATGGCAGCTGCAGGGTGTTTGCACGAGGAGGATCTATCTCATAGCTGTGATCTGGAGAGACTGGGAGGAACCCCTTGAGGCACTTCAGGGGCATGAAAAAAAGATGGTCCCCAGTCCCATCTTTTGGAGGGGCATCCACTCTTTTTGCTAGCTGTTTTTCATAGTTTAACAGGACTCCCCTTGTTATACTGTGATAGGTAAAAACGAGGTTCATGGCTTCCAAAACACCGAAGCCGGAAGGGGGACAATACTAGTTCCTGGGCTTTTGAAGATGGAATGCCCTTTATCCCCATTCAGAGCTATTGCTTCATCTTGGCTTTAGGGAGTGGTACCCACTTCTGCTTTTCCATGGGAGGGGGAGGCCTGGCAGGGCCTGGTTGAAGGAAACCCAAAGGATTTTTCACCCTGATTTTGAGTTTCTGCTTCTGCTTCTCTTGCCTAATGGCAGGGCTGGCCTTGCAGCTGGCTCTGACTGATGAGCAGTCTTTCGAGGCCAAGGCATTAAAGGACCTGTTAAGATGGGGGCTTGTCCTGGCGGATCCAGTGGTTCCAGTGGGCCCCCTCCAAGCTCAGGTGTCAGTCTCAGATCTGCACTGAGGCCCCCAGTGCACAAAATCTGATGATAGTCCACTCTCAGCATCCAAGCAAAGAGATCCTGCAACGCTGCATCCAGTCTGCAACAGCGGGGGCTGCATTTTATAATCTGGGGGGGGTGTTAATTGGCTCTTTGAGAATCCCAACTCAAACTGTTGCTTGTCTGGTTTAAACCTACTGGGCTGATCGGAATCTGTGCCCAGGGAGTGGATTGCAACATTCATATAATGCGCAGTCTCCTTAAAGAAAAAAACCTTTGGTGGGGGGGTGAAATCCATTTCCACTTGCACTGTTTGAAGTTCACACCCTTCTGCCCATTTTCATTTGTCATTTTTCCTTGCCTGCTTTCCCCTGGTGGGGGCAGCTGACTTCTGTACCCCGTGCTTAGCTTTCAAGGTGTCAGTTTTTAAGAAAGAAGAAAACAATACACTGGGTTGCTGTTTTACAGAAATAATAGGTCTTTCTTAAAATACAAGCAAGAAAGAATAGATGGTTGTAAAAATGTGTGACCTGTGTGTGTTATGGGTTAGGGTTGGGGTGAACATCCCTAAATTTGGAATGAATTAAGTGTGCAGTTTTCCCAAATAATAAATCCAGTAATGTACTGGCTGTTTTTGCTCACGAGAAACAGTCATGTGCAGGGGGAAAAGAGAAATTTTGTAAGTGAATTAAATGGAGCGGGATTGAGGGAAAAAAGAAATAAATGTGTACATACATAAGATAAGAAATATGACGGGGGTCTGCTTAGGATCTCAAAATGCACCTCTATTGTTGAGACACATTTTGGGGGGATGATGAGTAACAAGCTGGGTGAAAGCCGCCATGGCAAGTGGAGAGCATTCTCCATTTAAATGTGGTGGTGAAACAGGTTTGAGGATTAGCGCACTGTGATGCAACAGATCTACAAGATAAGATGTGCTGGTTTGAAAGCTGGCCAGCCAGCCGAGGGGCAGAAAATTCCAAGGAAATGTACCTTTGGGCCAAATTCATCCTATCGCAAGTTCCACTAAAAGGCACGCAGATGTGCCTTATGACAGAACACGAAGGGACCCAGGAATATTTTGAGTTCTACAGCCTTGGAGAGCCAAAAACAAAAACAAAAATGAAGGGAATTAGATTTGAGTGTGTTGATTATGGGTAGTCCCCGGTTTAAGGACGAGTTCCGTTCCCAAAGTCTGTCCTTAAGCCGAATTTGTATGTAAGCCAGAACAGTATTATTATATAATACTGTATAAGTAGTATTGTGTATTTAACTCAAATTATTGTGTCTTTAACTCAAATTTTGCTACAAGAGGCTCCGTTCTTAACTATGGGTGGTCTGTAACCCGGGCGTTCTTAATCCAAGGACTACCAGTACCCCTTGCAGCAAAAGTATCATACAAAAAGGCATAGAACACTGACTAACTTACACCGAGTAGTGAATATAAGCTGGGATGGATTTCACATCTGGACAAACCTTTGCCAGTTTCTCCCCAAGGCTAGAAGTATCCCTCTGGCTTAAGTGGAGAGTAAGCTTGCATTTGGTACGTGTATTCCCTTAGTGCACCTGCCTTCTCTCAAATGCTCAGCACGGGATAGTGGTTTTTGATTCGCTTTGCTTTGCCTTTGCTAAAATTGTCTCTCGACACTTGCTCGACTCCCTCCTCCTCTGCCTACGCCAGACTCCCCTGCTGCCCCTGGCCAGTTCTTAAGCTTAGCCCGGAGCAGAAGCCGTCTCTCTGTCCTCATATCGAGGGGAATTAAGTCTTAGAAACAGTGGGGTTCTTCAGGAACTCGAGTGGTGCAGAGAAGCTACTGCCATGGCATGGCCCCCATAATTCTGTTTTGTTCCTGTACCAGATGCGTTTGCGATTTGGCTGTTCTGTCACAGTGAGAACAAGACATGCCTGCAGACTGTACACACCACAGATTCTTTGCACAAAGGAGTAAGAAAAGGCCTGTCTTCATCCACGCCTTACAAATGTACATAGGGGAAGCGAGTTGCACGGAGGCCAACGCCAACTGCTCGCAGCGTTACGCTTACAATGTCCTTCGGTACAACACCAGCCCTAGAACCAGAAGCTGGCCTAGGAAGCGGGGTGAAGTTTACACCTGTGAGCTGTAGCCAGTAGTAGCAGCATTAACATCCCAGTTCCCACTTGTTTCTGCTAATCTTCTCCTGTTAATAGCCGTATCTCTTACTTCAGCTATTAACGTTCTCTGTGTGTGTCTTTCATGCTCGTTGCTTGCACACCTCTCTGCAACTGCTCCTGAGCAAGTGAAAATTGTTCTTGATTCCCCCTCTTCTTTTTATTCCCTCCCTTCTTTTTCCTTTTAAAATCAAACTATTATCACATTTATATCCCACTGTAATCCAAGGATTCCAGCGGCTTCCTTGATAGTTGCAATTTTGCGTTAAAAACCGTGTTAGAATGTCAGTGGGTTTAAAACTTACTTAACTGTCAAAGCTTAACATGGAGAAGACAAGCAGTGCTGCTTTAGTTCTGGGACCTTTTTTCCTTTCCCTTAATTGAGCCTTCCCTGGCCCAGACGTTCTCCAGATGTGTGAACTTCAGCTCCCAGAATCCTCCCGCCTCCGTGGCCTTTCCTGACCCTTTTGGAATTGAAAGACCGTATTTGGGGAAGAACTTAGCCATGGCAGTTAAGTTTGCTTTAAAAGCAATCTGGGATTTGTGGCAAAGACAATTGCTCGCCCCGTTCATTTATTGGCACAATTTCACTTCTTCCAGCTGCCCTGGCTGTCAAGTGGTGAATTCTGTCCCAGTTCCCTTTTCTCAGCAGTTGCAAGTGATTTGAAGATCACACCACTTCTCCTGTTTGAGCCACGCTTTGACTAAACCTGGTTTTCCTTTTCTCTCCCCTTCCCCGTCCCCTTTCCATTGGTTGTGGCTCTTCCTCTCTGCAGGCGTTGCCACCTGGTGCCCTTCAACCTTTACCAAAGAGGCCAGCACTTGAAAAAAACAACGGTGCCACCACAGTCTTCAACCCAAGTCTTTTCCACTACCAGCAGGCCCTTGCGAACATGCAGTTGCAACAGCCTGCGTTTATCCCAACAGGTAGGTTTGTAATCTCGGCCTCTTTGCTCTTCTTTCAGCGAGGGAGCTGACATCATCTTGGGAGGTGGCCTGGAAACTCCTCCCGTCTCCTCCGGGGGCACCGTCTGACTCTCGAAAGTGACTGCTATCTGCTGAGCGGTGGCTTTTGCCCAGAGCAGCTGTGCATGACTTCCCTCCCTGCTGTGTTGCCAGAGCCTTCAATTTGCTGATCTGATCGATTTGCTGGTGCTGCCTGAGTCAGGGGTGTCCTGTGAGGGTTTGGGAGGGGAAAAGGTGCTCTTGCGAAGACTGAAGGACAGCACTTCATCCCTCACTGCCCAGGGAAACCCTGTCTTGCAGCTGGAAGCCCAGATGTGAACACTGCTCTTCACCAAGCAGAGATTCAAGCGTTCCACCTGGTTTTGTGCATCTGGTGTACAAAATTACATGGTGCCTTTCAAAACTTTTCAAGAGGTTTATGATAAAACCATTGCCAGTGCACTAATAATGCTAGGCTAGCTAGCAGATGGTAATTAGGGGACAGTCATGAACAGTTCTTTTCCTTTGGGACGTGTGGGAAATCTGCATCACCAGGGTTTCCCACATGCAGCTTTCCTGCAGAATTGGCAAAATAAATTTGCAAAGTCTTGCCTGTATGAAGGGAGCTAAATTAAGCAGGAGCTTGGAGAGTGAATTCAAAACTCACCCAGCACAAGCCTGCTGCCTAGAATCCAAGCCTATTTTTCCCTTTTGGCCACAACGCTAACATTGAAATGCCACAATCAGTTCAATTACTGTCAGATCTAAGTTCTGCGTGATCATTGCCGCGGGCAGTAGAGAAACCCCTGAAAAATAATCGTGTTGCTCGGAATTTGTGCCTGTTAACACACTAACAGCTTCACTAACGAAATATCCCTTCTGTTCATCTTTTCCACGCTTCACTGCATGACGTGCAGGGTCTGTGCTGTGCATGGCACCCGCAGCAAACGTTGGTAGGTCTTTCTCCACAACCTTTTCCTAACCCAAATGAGGCCTTTGGATCTGCTGTGTCACTGGTAGAGGGAGGGGAGGAGGAGGAGAATGGGGGCGGGGAGGCTAGTAGTGTCCCATGGTATGTCTGGCTCAAAACCCACCATCACTGTAAAGGCTTGAATGGTTGCGTCCTTTCCACATCTCTGTAGTGCGGCAAGTGTGATTATGAATCAGTAGAGCTGAGCTTAAAGGAGTGCCGAAATCAGTCCTCTTCCTTGTTGTTTTCTTTTAGCAATGCCGTGACAATGTTTCTGTGGCCCTCTTCTTGTCTCTTTTACTTGCCTTTCTTCAACTCTTAGTTGCCTCCTGAGATAACCAAATTATTTTGGCTACAAGCTGGCATGATGTCATCGAATTCATTCCTTGATCCTTGCCCTTATTCTTGGACCCTTGTCGACATCTCCGTGTAGCCCAATCTGATTGGCTATGTAGTGCTGTGATGTCATCTCATCTATGATGTGATTCCGGATTGACTACAACCCCCCTGTGACTTAATCCAGAAAGGAGCAGGAAATAGAATGGAAAAACTGTGCCAAACTGCCCACAAATACGGGGAACATAGAGAGCAGACCTGTTTTGTGTTCCCCCCCGAATGGGAGTATTTTGGCATTTAGGGTTCCCAGGCATATTTCCACTCCTCTCAAACTGAACTCTATTTAACATTCTTATTAGGAAAACATTTGGTAATGCTGTATGATGAGTCAACCTGGAAAAGGATAATTTATAGCACTTATGCTTATTCTTGTGAGAAAAAGAATTATTTGAGCTTACCCTTACTCTTGTGTGCAGTGCTTTGGATAACATAATTCATTACAACCACTATTTTCTGCAGTCAGTCCGTTTGCTTTAAGTGCGTACATTTTTTCTCTGGGTATTTTGTTTCCCCTGATGAGAGAGAAAAGAAGGCGGGCTGTGGAAGTTGACAAACAAGTTCAACAGAGAATGTAAAATTGGGTCACTGATGTAGCTTTCTTCCTCCAAACTACACAGGGGATGTTAGCAGTTGATTGAACCCACACTGGCTTACCCTTGCTAAAAATATAAACCACTTTGAGACTAGTTTCAGACGGCTTTCATGCTGTTAATGTCCCTCCAACCTAACCTGGGATTGGTAATTTGGCGATGATGTGGTTCCAGGATGCCCAGGGTCCTTTTAGAGTTTTAGGCTCCGAAGCTTGTGGGGCTGCTACTGGGATAGTAGGTGGACCTTTCTGCTACTTCAGGTGTCGGGGGGGCATGGCATTTCAGCAAGGGACCCCCTTGGATCCCAAAACCAATCCGAGTATTTGTGCTCTCCCTCACCCCTCAGTCACCCGTGGGCAAGAGAGACTCAAGCTTTGGGCCTCATCCCTTGCAGTCAGTCAGGAACCTCAGGGCCTCCTCTCCTTGGTCTCATCCAAACGCAGCCCTCCGTATACCTTGCCTAAGAAGCCAAGGATCGAATGGCCACATTCCATTAAAATCCACAGGCTGCTTCTAGTCTTCCCGTTGGCTACTTTGCCCCCACCCCACACTCCCCATTATTTTTGTTCTTTTCTAAAGATGTTAGAGGTTGCAAGCGTTGCTTTTCCCCTCTCCCTCTCTTCTCCTGGGGGAAGAAAAATCCAGGCAGCTGAGATGGGATGCATTTGCACCCACAACACCCTTGTGACAGAACCAGCAGAGGTTGCATCTGGGGCTTATGGTGCAGCTGGAAAGAACCCCGAGGGAGTAACCAGGAGGCGCACAGACATGAACAGGGCCCATGAGGTCCCTTGCTCACAAGTAAACTGTGCACTACAGTTTTTCAAAGTAGGATGGGATCCCGTCTGCCTGCAACTGCCACTTCCTCTAACTAGTCACAGACAACACCCACGCATATATTGCCCCCCGAGACAACTTGGCTTGGCCATTTGTTCCTTCTCCACCCATCTTTGGAAATTTGACCACCACGCCCCTCCCAGAGTCTTTTATACATCATTGTTCTGCTTATAAATGTTTACTGAGTGTTGAGAATATTTTAGTTTTTTTTTTTCTTAATTATAATTGTAATTGGCTTTTTCCCCTTTTTTTCTCTTATTATTTTCTTGTTCTCTCCCCTCTCCCCGATGCTGTTTTGCTTTGCTCTGTGATTGCATGCCGCATCCTGGTGTCTCTCTCCATGACGTCACAATGGCTTGTTGCTGTGATTCCCGACACGCCCCCACCACGTTACATAAACGCTCCACCCTCCTGTTTTGTTGCTTCCATGGTTCCCTACCGAAAAGTTCCCATGATGCACGGTGCTACGCCCACCACTGTTTCTGCAGCAACTACACCCGCCACCAGCGTTCCTTTCGCTGCAACTGCAACAGCCAATCAGGTTTGCCCCCTTTCAATAGCTTTCTTTCATGGGGTCGGAGGTGCCAGGAGCTTGCCCAAGCCCACATCCCATGTGGGGCCCAGTGCTTTTTGCCAGGGGTCATGTAGAGGTTGGGACATGCATCACTTCTGCCACAAGGGTGCTACCCAAACCCACCTCGGTCAGGGGCTGTTTGCCTGCCTTGCAAGCTCAGCCAGTCCTGAGGCTCAAGCTGATGGCCACTGGAGCAGATCTGAGACTCTTAACCAAATGGTGTGTAGGGGGTAGTTGGTGACCATTCACAAGGGCACCCTCCTGGCAGATGGGAGGTACACTGGGTTCCCAAATCTGTCCTCCACCACCACCATCCTCACCATCTCTTCACTTGCCTTGAGGAGATGGTGGCATGTCTGGCTAATGCCTGCACCCCATGAAGGACAGATCCTTGGAAATGCTGTGGATCTGTGATGGAGCATGGGCTTTCTTCGTGGATGTGGGGCGGGATCACTTCTGAAGCAAGGGATTGGGGAGTGCAGATGATCCAGAAACATCGCGCATCACACTTCTAGACCAGCCCTGCCCTCCAGATGTGCTGGGGCTGCAGCTCCCAGACTGGCAGGCTAGGAGCAGCTATTCCAGCCCATTTGGGACCCCGGTTTGGAAGAGGGGGCTCAAGATCAATGGGGGAAGAGGTTCCCAAGAGTTTTCTGCTAGTTCATCAAAACGAGACTGTGACACGGGCCTTGGCGTGACAATGTCATCCCTCCAGTCTCAGCAGCCCTCCGTTGGGAGTGGCCCTTTTCCCACCTCAGAAGTAAACTGTGTCAAAACATGGGTCAAAAGGGAAAAGAGGACAGCTTTATTCCTAGCCCTGTACTCTCTGCCTCCGTTTATATTTTTTAAAAACGAAGCAGGCTCCCTTTTAGGGAATCGGAAAGACAGCAGTTTCCTGGGGCAGCCTTTCCCAGCTGGTGGCTGAGGCTGAGCCGAGGGAAAGTGGTCCTCCGTGCTTGCTGTGCCACTCTTTGAAAGGCCTTCGCTGGGGCAGGGAAGGTAGCTGGCCCGTAAGAATTAACCTAAAAGATACAAGATGCCAAGGGTTGGGGCCATGCAAAAATGTATTTATTAGGAAAGACCAGCCCATAACCAGGTTGCCTGAAGGATGTGGAGTGCCACCAGTAGGCTTTCTCCAAAAAGTTGTTGCTGCTATGATGTAATGTTTTCATGAGAGCAAAGGGGAAAAATGCTAAATCCGTGAAATCTTCCCACTGTGTTTTTAACTCACTGAAATTACAATTTAAAATGAGTTTTTCTCCTGGCCCTGGTGGGGCTGTGGAGGGAGGTGCAAGCAAGAGTCTCTAACCTTTCCTGGGGATCTTTTGCAATCTGGAGGGGCCCAGTGCCAGGGCAGTGGGAGGGACCAATTTTCAGTCTGCTGAGATGATGGTGATTTCCCATCTAACAGAAAACTCTGCTTTATGTAGGCTTTCTGTATTAATATTCCTACAACTGCTTGATGGCTTTTATGCACCATTAATGTTTTAGCCAGGGCAATGTTTCTCAACCTTGGCAACTTTAAGATGCATGGACTTCAATTCCCAGAATTCCCCAGCCAGGCTGGGGAATTCTGGGAGTTGAAGTCCACACATTTTAAAGTTGTCATAATTGAGAAAGTTGTCATAGTTGGGAAACATCTCTGCATTAAAGGTGATACCCAGCAAATGTCAAGTGATGCTTTCTCCAAGGGTTCTGGTTTGGTCCGAAAAGACCAAAGTCTTCTCAGTTAGCCATGTCTTTTTCAGCCATCTAAGCCAGCAGGTTTTACATAAATCATTGAGTCCTTGTGAGCATAGGAAGAAATGGCAACGATGTCACAGTGACATCACGTGCATTATGATGTCATCACACAAATGATGATGTTGTGTAATTGCAAATTATATGACTGGCTTTGTGACACCCATGGTGTTGCTAACCTCCCCTGCAGATACCCATACTTGTGAGCTGCCCTAGAACTCCTGGTGGGTCTTGAAGTTAGTGGACAGAGTTAACCATCAAGGGAATGTTTTAATGGGACGTCCTTCTTCTCTCCACCCCCTTCCTTGTTTTACTGCAGATCTCCCAGTTATCAGTAGATGAATTGAACAGCAGCATGTTTGTTTCACAGATGTAGAAGCAACGCAACAGTAAGTTATGGTTCAGCTGTGTTGGCATGGCATGCTTACCCATTGTTAACTGAACTGCAGTTTATTCAGCTAACTCAGTTGCCTGGTTTCACACGTACTGAACCATTGAGCCAAGCATGTGTGCTGACAGATTTGTGGGTTCAATGTGTTGTGTGAACCCAGTCACTGAAGGGTTCATGCTGGGATGGCTGGATCTCACTGGACTTCCTCATGAGAGGACTCAGAACGACCCTGCTGGGTCTGAGGCCCTTGCTGGGTTTATTCAGGAATGTTGGGGGTCTTCTGGAAGTCCCCTCCAGGTATCCTTGGCTGAACCCTCTGTTCTTCTTTGGAACAGCCCAACAGTGAGCCATAAGAAGTGGGAGGCATGTCTCACTCAACAATTGATTTGTGTAAGGGGTGGACAACCTGAGGCAAGATCTGGGGAGATGTAATCCATCACTGATCTCAACAGATCTTCTTCTTTTATAAGAATCTAAAATTTGCCTGAGATCTTACTG